AGAGAGAGAGAGAGAGATAACGACAAGGTACCTTTTAAGCTTTGGATAGGTAGCTTTCTTCAACACAACTAAGTTTGGACTGCATGGTTCCTACTCCTATATCAATTAGGTGGGCCCCCAAACCAAAGTCCCAGAGTCCCAACAGGAAAAACCAAGCCCTACCAAAATTTACCACTGATTAGTAGGACCATTGCATGTCGATATTTTTGATGTTGTCATCCACTGCGACCATTTCCCCGTGTTATCGTGCCTTTCTGTTGTAGTTTCCAGATACTACCAGTTATACCGATGCCCAGTACTCGGCCATACTTGCTAGGGCGCAGCTTATGTATGATACAGCTGCCAACAAGCTTCACTATGAGAGCCCAGGTAGCGCTAGAAGCAACCCTCTGCTCATGATAGATGGAGAACGTTTCACACAGATCGTTGTGGATGACAATGTCATTAACGACACGGATGTCATGTTTAGTAGTATAGGTGAGAATATTGCAATTTCTAACATTGTTCAGTATAACGATTGATTTTTTCCCAACTACGTAACTGAGATTAAACACCAGCAGTTGAAACTTTAAATAAATCATTTTGCAATTTGGAAGTTTGTTATGTTTATCAGAAGTTATAGCTGAATCCACCGCCGTGCATTGATGCCGCCCTTTTCATAACTAAAACACCATAATTACTGACGCCGCTACAGTGATCGGCTAATTTCTCATTTTTTAAGGTTGGTTAATTATCCAAACTTTGTGGTAAGATCTTAATATTTCATGCAAAATTAATTTAATAAATCGTTGACGTCAGCTTTCTGTAGTTTTTTAATTTTTCTGTCTTTTCTTGCGTTGATTTTCCTCAGAAAAAGGGACCTTATTGAAAGCTTATTTGAGCGAGGACCGATCGAAAGCCAAAGTCGTGGAGGAAATTAGTTTGAATTCAGACCAACCAGTAAGCCATTCAACAATTTTATCAATAACCATCACTTGTAAATTTTTGCCTTAAGCCCACTATCTGTTTTGTAACAATAGGTTTTGTAACAACAGCTTTCGCAGAGTTCCTCCGCGGGCAGCACATCGACAGCCATGAGGCGTTGATCTCTTTCAACGTCGTGTCTTTGTTTACCAACGTCCCCATAGATGGCGCTTGCTGTGTGGCCCGTCGCCGCCTGGAGGAAGACCCTGAGTTGCCTGACCGGACAACACTCTCCCCTACTGAGATCGTCTCCCTGCTGGAGTTTGTCCTGCGTTCCACGTATTTCCTGTACGATGGAGCGTACTACGAACAGACAGACGGAGCAGCCATGGGTAGTCCGGTGTCAGCGGTTATTGCCAATCTGTACATGGAATCGTTCGAGGAGGAAGCCCTGCAGAGTTGCCCACCCGACTGCCGTCCTACTTTGTGGAAGCGGTACGTCCATGGCACCTTTGTCATTGCACCACGGGATCAAACCAGCCATCTACTCAACCACCTGAACAGCCTCAAGCCCAGCATCCAGTTCACCATCGAGAATGAGCAAGACAACAGCATCGCATTCCTGGACACCATGGTCCACAGGGAACCCGACAGCGGCCTGACCAGCACCATATATCGCAAGCCTACCCACACCGACCAGTACCTGGCCTTTGACTCACACCACCCAATGTCCGTCAAAAGGGCGTGGCCAAGTGCCTACATGACCGCGCCTCACGCCGAGTCACCAGACCACACCACACAGCCGCCGAGAGACGCCGAGTAACCGCTGCCCTCACGGCGAACGGGTATCCAGCGTCAAGTTTTTATACTAACAAATACTTAATTTTTGTCTTCACTTTCTATACCTAGATTGCAGGCTTCGGGAAATAGCTGCAGAACAGTGCGTTCGGTAGCAAGTATGAATTTGCAAACTTATTTTTTGTCTAAACACTACCACTACCACTCTCCAAAATGGAGCGTCAAACTGGCACCAAGGAAATCAGAGGATAGAATGCCGTGTAGGGTTAAAGAGTTTCAAGAAAATTTCAACTTGTTCTTTCACAGTGCATGCAGACTTTCACCTCAGAGTGTCTGGAAGAACAGTCGATTTATGACAAGAAAATCTCTCAGTATAAACTAAATTGGATCCAGGAACAGGTATATGGTCTCTGTTTCTCTTTTTACAGAAAGGGATCTTATCTTTGCTGCATTTTAAATTGAACGTATAGACATATTGGAAGGGTTTATCTAGATCTTTATTTCGCTTATATTGATAATCATTATTGGCTAAAGTTTTGATTGTCTTATATTTATATATTATATTTATATAATATTTATATATTATATTATATATTACAGTTGATGGTAAATTCAAAGATGGAGTTAAAATTTATGCTTTTGAATGTAGTAAGCTTTGTCTTTGTTTTGTAAATCAATAATATACATATTGCTTACTGCCATGAAGTAGTTTGCTTATCACGCAAATAGTCACAGATGTGGAGCCCCTGTAGAAAAAACTCCTTGGCCTCGATTGCATGCTCGCATGCACAGAACTGCAACATTAAAAGAGCATGTGTAAGTAAGAGGGTGACTAATTCCCCCATTGTCTGTAAGATTGAAGACTCACTCTTAAGGTCTTCGATCTTCATGACATTGGCAAAAGGTGTTCGTATGGTATGCCAATGTAAAAATATGATGTGAATAGGGACAATAATGGATTTGTATACTCCTGTTTTATTCTTAACCTCATTGTGATTATGCTAATGTTTATGAAATGAATTTAGACTTAAAAAGGTTCTTCGAAGTTGAAGAATTTATATTTGAATAGAGCTGAATAAACGGGTAATAGAGAGAACAGAGATTTGTTTAATCCGGTTTATAGATTCGGACTTTTACAGATGATTTTCGTAGTGTATAGGAGTTTGATAACACAAAATACTGCTTAAACGTTTAGATAAATTTTTTTGCCGTTTATGATTCTGTGATCTCATTGTTTTAGCTTGTTACCAATTCTTGTATCATTGTTGTTTGTTTTATTAAGAAGTCGTTAGGTAAAACTGAGCACTCTGCGTCAGTAATCGGAATATAATGATGGAAAACATCAGTTTGCAACTTGTATGCTGTACTGCCGTCATCTGAAATGTCCCATTATCATAAACATAAAAATCCGAATCGACAAGATAGATTCTCTTTGGCTGTTTGTCTGCTCGATAGTTTGTTGACTCCTCTTTTTGCCTCTCTGAAAGCTTCAAAGCTCAAAATCTGACCAAACGGACAACAAGCGTCTTCAAAACGAGGGTTATTGCTTGTCCCAAACTCTGAGAAAACCATCATTTGACCTATCAATATTTGGCGTCTTCTTATTCACGTCCGGTAGACTTGTCTTCAGCTTGATCTCATAATGTAGATTTTGAAATAATAACGGAATATATAATACGTTGGCATATAAACATTTGGGACGTCTGTAGAATTCCCGCCGTAAATGTCACAATTTTAATAAATGAGCATACAGTAATACATGTGTTAAAAAGCGAATGAAAAACTTCCTTGCCACACCCATTTCAACCGCGGAAGGAAAAAACGTGTCAGAGATAAATTCAATAAATCAGCAGGACATGAAGTGACTGATGTAACGACTGCTTACTTCATCCTTACATCAAGCACTTTTAACGCCAAAGGGGAGGAAAGTTCGGGAATGTTCAAATTTTCTGAATTGTCATAATCTCATTTGAAAAAGGATTATGACGATCCCTAAATTCCAGTTTTGCTATATCATAATGAAATTCATCAAATGAAAAAAAAAGTCATGATTAACAAGATTTATCAGCTTGTGTCTTTTGGTGGCGAAAATACATTTTCGTTTAAGCTCTCACCAATGTGAACTATATTTGAAGTGCAGTCCGGTGTATTACTGTTTTAAACTACGAATGCTGGTATTTATTTGTTCACGCCCTAGTACATTGCAGTAATACGGCAACTCCCCCATAAGGTCACTAACGTTTAATACGCAAGTCATGCGCAGTGACATACAATGACGTCATTTCGAGGTTATGGGTTTCCCCTTTTAAGCCCAAGTCCAGTCAGCAAACTTTTACCTACTTCAGGGAACACAAAAATTCTGTT